AGTCTTTTCTTTAGCTGTTTGATTTATAAATTTGCTCTATTTCCAACTATTATTTTTACTGGATTAATTAAACCTGCCGTATGGAACTTTTTTAAGGCTACGCCATAATGCCAACACCAGAGCGATTGACAGTGGGGTTTTTATTTTAAAGATAGGAAAATCGAAGAAGTCATTCACTGAATTTGGATTTACATGCTTCCTGCACTTTTATAGCTGGATCTTTAACCGCTATATTGTATTAATATTTAAAACGGTAACATTTCCTCAAAGTTTTAATCATCCCACTGCCAATTTTAAGTAAAAAGAAAAAAGCCAGTTTGCATTTCATCTGCCCACATCATGATGCTACTTCCACCATGCTTAACAGTTCAACATATAGTCTTAATGAGGTTAAGGAGCTCAGTAGAGTCGTTGCTTCTCCACGTCGAAAGGAGCCAGCTGAGGAGGCTCGGGTATCTGTTTCGGATGCCTCCTGGTCGCCTCGCTTGGGAGGTTGTTTCAGGCTTTGTTGGAAGTCCCAGGACACACTGGAGGGACTATGTCTCTGAGCTGACCTGGTGTCGCCTCGGGGTCCCCCCAGAGCAGCTGGAGGAACCGTGTGTGGATCAGAAAGTCTCAGCACCTCTGCTTAGACTGCTGCATCCACGACCCGGATAAGGGGAAGAAGATGGATGGATGTCTTTCCAACCGGACATATTAGTTCAGATGAATAAGGTTTAATAATAGGACATGTATGTCAGTAGAGTAGAATAGAAAATCCCTTTATTGTTCCACAGTGGGGAAATTGTGGTGTTTACAGCTGCAGAAAGATGATAGAAAAAATTGGACCTTAGAAAAATGTAAAAGATAAACAACAAAATACTGTACTGTTAAGTGTTTTAACAATATTAAAAACCACCTGGAGAAAGAATAGCCATTATACAGCTATGGACATTTTTACAGTAATAGATATTTAAAAAATAGCAACATCAGAGATGTACAAAATGACAGAAGCATGATATTTAGCTGACTAAGGTAGAAACTGTAAAGTCAGCATGAATGTAAAAACGTATTGAGGTAGTTGGGAACAGTGGTGGCAGTGGCGGTTCTAGACCAAATGTACCAGGGCGCTCAGGAGGGGTTTTCATGAAACAAAAAAACAGGCCAAGGGAGCTGCAGCAAGTTAAATTTCCATTCAATTAGTTGAAATCAGCTGAAAATATTTATTTTTGGCTTGAAAATATAAATCCCGTAGCTATATAGATATCTAAAAGATCATATAAAGCTATTTTTTGGAATATTAGGTCAATATACATTCAGAATTTAGGAGTTTTACATATTTTTAACTTCATTTAAGTTAAAATTACAGTTTTCTATGAAATCAGGATAAAAAAATCAAATAAATTCAGCTGTAAAAATGAAAGTATTTTTTAATAAAAAAAAAAAAAACATTTAGCAGATGAAAACTGGGATCCTATCTTAAAGGAATAGTACACCCAAAACATGATTAGCCTTCATTTTCTACTCACCCCCATGCTGAACAACACTCTGGAGTACTTTTTTGATATCTCAAAAGCATCTGGAGATCTGGGAGGCTTCTTGCTGTCTGCTGACATTCAAATAATGGAGGTCTATGGCGCCCGAGGCAGAAAGGTCCATAAAAGTCCACAAAAACGTGTCAATATTCCTCCATACTGCTCGTCCAATGTAATCCAAGTGTCCTGAGTGGGTAGCGTCCATAATTTACTCGAAACGAAGTCATTTAGAACGTTTTAGAGCATAAACAGTAGTGTATAGGATTTCCTGAAAGCGCGCACATGCGCGTTCACGGCGCTACGGAAGCCGGAAGCCGACTTTGAGGCAGATGGGCTACAGCAGCAGAAGACCACACCGGGTGCCACTCCTTTCATCTAAGAACAGGAAACTGAGGCTACAATTTGCACAAGCTCATCGAAATTGGACAATAGAAGATTGGAAAAACGTTGCCTGGTCTGATGAGTCTCGATTTCTGCTGCGACATTCGGATGGTAGGGTCAGAATTTGGCGTCTACAACATGAAAGCATGGATCCATCCTGCCTTGTATCAATGGTTCAGGCTGGTGGTGGTGGTGTCATGGTGTGGGGAATATTTTCTTGGCACTCTTTGGGCCCCTTGGTACCAATTGAGCATCGTTGCAACGCCACAGCCTACCTGAGTATTGTTGCTGACCATGTCCATCCCTTTATGACCACAATGTACCCAACTTCTGATGGCTACTTTCAGCAGGATAATGTGCCGTGTCATAAAGCTGGAATCTGGTTTCTTGAACATGACAATGAGTTCACTGTACTCAAATGGCCTCCACAGTCACCAGATCTCAATCCAATAGAGCATCTTTGGGATGTGGTGGAACGGGAGATTCACATCATGGATGTGCAGCCGACAAATCTGCGGCAACTGTGTGATGCCATCATGTCAATATGGACCAAACTCCCTGAGGAATGCTTCCAGCACCTTGTTGAATCTATGCCACGAAGAATTGAGGCAGTTCTGAAGGCAAAAGGGGGTCCAACCCGTTACTAGCATGGGGTACCTAATAAAGTGGCCAGGGAGTGTATACTGTATACTGATGATAAAAATATGGGCTTTCTGTATGGAAGAGAAAGCCAAGCACCTGTAGTTGTTTGTGAGAGTGCACTACTGCATGTAAAGTTTATCCAAAGGAAAAATCCTCAATAGTGGTTGTGAAGGGACAAAGACGTCTCAAAGTGAGGCCATTTAGGCCCAGTGTCTCCCTCATTAAAGTATGAATTATGAACACTGAAGAGATGTTGTTCTAAGTTCTTCTTTGACCTTTTTCTTGTATCATTCGTGTGCAGATGGAGTGATTTTGGCAGAGCAGGCACTCCTTAAAAGATTCCCCAATCAAAGATTGCTTTGTATCCAGAGAGATTAGTTTCAGTGACTCTAATTGAGCAAAAACAACTAAAAATTTGGTTGAAAGCAAATATATAAAATAAGAAGCAGATAAAGATTGACCATGATGTTTGTGTCAGGGTTTGTGATTTTTTAGTTAAAGACGGAGATGTTAAATTAAAATTGACTGTTTAAGGACACAATAAAAACCACTGCTTTAAATCTCTGCTAAATCCTTTCATCTTACTATCCTTTACCTTCTTAGACCGTCCATTAAAGGAGCTCTGTGAGATCAGAACATGTTGGGATATTGTTTTATAACCTCACTCTGCTCTACATTTTTCCATAACTTCACCTTTCTTCTATGGTTGTTGGTTTATGATGCTGTTTTTTCTCCAATGTTTTCTCTACCAGAACAGGACATATTTAATCCTTTATAATAAAGTGATGGTGCCTTTTACAGCAGTAGGTATTATTTACACAAAAAAGAATAGACTGATGTTGATCATTATAAAGTTCAAAGGCTGATGGGCTGGGTTTAGTCCTGTATAAAGGAGGTATCAGTCAGTGAGTGAAGGGCGCTCCCAGAACATCTCACTCCGCTTACAAACTTAGTCCTCACGTAGTGCATAAAAGGACAGCTGGATCTACATACTAATTAGGAATATTTTGATATGATTTGTCAGCTAGTGTATTTTTATTTTGCATTACTTAAGTAAAGGAGACTGAACATGGATGCACACCATACTATTAGGGCAGAGGTCACGGATTAGCAGACTGGGTCTGGCTAACCCGGACCCAACCTGATTTAAAACATTTATAAATTACTGCATTGATGCCCGACAGCAGTGTCTAATTTCACTTGCGCCGCTTCTACTGTTTGTATGGTAAAGCCCTCCAGAGCTTATGGGGCCAGGCTGCAAGTGATACAAATTAGCCAAGGAGCTGCTGTCAGTCTGGGTTGCTGCTGCTGGAAACTTTTAGACACAGCAGCCAAACCTGTGGCAAGCCAGCGATGGGAAAGAAGGAGAAGACGATGAGAAAAAGATTCTCCACCATGACCATATTCAAAAATAAATGCTGATCCAGGCTCATAATGAGCACCTTGATCTGTGCTTGAGAATGGCTTTGTCTCCATTCAAACCCAGGTTTAGAGCCTTGCAGGGCAGCATAAAGCCCACTGCTCTCATTAAGCCCTAAAAAGAGAAAGTAATATAACAAATGGTCAGTTCAGGAGTTTTATAAAATATGGGAATCAGGAAATTGTCTATATACCAAACCGAATGATTGTTATTCTCTAAATAAAAAAACACATTAGATTTTATATATATATATATATATATATATATATATATATATATATATATATATATATATATATATATATATATATATATATATTTTTTTTTTTTTTTTACTTTTAAAAATTAATAACATGGGTGCATAAACACCTCATTTTATTTCAGTGTTAATTTCTTTTTAAAGTAACAGATTATAATTAAAAATGTCTCTGGACCTCTACTGGTTGTTGATTTTCTTCATTCAGACCCTCTTGATTTTTAATTAATTACCCCTGCATTGCAATGTTTTCTTTCCCTTAACCAATGCTTTGTGTTTGTCTACCACTTAAAATTTCACAGAAATATGTTGCAGCTTAGAATTTATACTCACCAAACACAATAAAGTTAAAGGGCAGTGGACATTTTTATAGGCGCTGTTGCTTTAGATGGGCCCTAAATAATATAACTGTGCACAGGGCCAAGTAAAGCCTTGGGGCGCCCTTGGTTGCGTCACTATCGAAACCTTTGGTATCAGTCAGTTGGATACGGAGTATTTGTGCTTCCACATTATTACCGCGAGGGGGCGCATATTCCCTGTATGCATCTTTAACACCTGAGGGGTTCGAACCATGTGCATTCCTTATGATGAAGAGGCCTCACTCTGGACATTTTTCTATAACAACTACCTAAGCTTATTCAAATAAAATTAAATAATAAGATTAAATGTTCGATTTATGTACTTTATCAACCAGCACAGAAATGTATGTATATTGGTAAAAAGCAAAAATAAGTAAAAGTTCTGTTCTCACTGATTTTTTTTTTTTGCAGTGAGATATCGCGTAAGGAGACGATCTTCGCTGAAAGGTAGTTGCCGAAGTTGTCAGGGGCAGGCAAGAGTCCACGGGAGCGAGAAGTGTTGTGGATTATCAACACACCCCGAGCAGGAAAGGACGTGGAAGAGGATACTGTCCGAGAAAAAGAAAAGAAAACAACAACTTTTCATCTGGACACAGCGGCAGCTCCAAGGACAAGACAGGTTAGCTGTGATTTAACTTCGCAGAGGAGCACCGGAGATTACCGTCCTCTCCCTGAGGGACTCACAGGCGGAGACACGTTCAGGTGCGGATCTTTGGCTGGGACTCTGGAATGCTTTAGCCACAAAGCTAATTAGCTAGGCTAATGTTAGCGACAGATTAAAACAGGACGGTTGACATTGGACAGGAAACTTTGTTGAAAAATATATAGATATGAACTACAATTAAAACTAAAGCTTTTACATTCATCCCTAAAGCAAAACTATGAATTTCGACAGCCTGTAAATAAACCAGAACAGAGCAGGAGCTGTTATTTTTATTAATTTAGTGTAATGATAATATTAACCCCTTAAAGCCTGACTTGATATACATGTACAAACAAAAATAAATTTTGTGCATTTTTCCCCCTTCAGTGAGATGCCATATTAAAATAAATAATGTTACTAAATACATAGAAATGAAGGTAAAGTATGTTTTGTAACAGCAGTTATAACTGCATAATAACATAAACTGTTACTAGCAAAAAACCTATAGTAGCTGTTTGCCTACACTGCAAAAAATGTTCTGAAAATGATTAAAATAAGTGTATTTACCCTTAATATGAGTAGGAAAATTAGATGATCTGACAATGGAATGAGGATTTTTACACTATAAGTAAGATAATTAGATATTATGCAATTGATATAAGAGACAGCAGTTGTTTTTTCTTATTTTAACTGTATATTGTCTTGTTCCAAAGTGTCTCACATATCTGCTCCATTCAAGAGAAAATGCTCTTATTTTAAGAAAACTTACTTAGATGTACATTTTTTGCAGTGTAATACAAGCGGTTTGTTGCTTATTAGCAACAACAGGCTTTAAAGGGTAAAATAAGATGATATTTATGAAAAACAGAATGGGTGTGTGCTTATTACTCTTTAGAAAACTGTCAAACGTGTAGAAACCAAACAGTTTTATGACAGCCGTGTTGTTCACACCCTTAAAATCTGCATTAAATAACTCCATGTCGTGCTGTTAAAAGCAAACATTGTATTTTTGCTTCTAAAGCTTCAGCGTGCAGCACAATAAATCTGACTCATTTGGTGTGTAAATGAATACTAGAGTTTATTTTTATCACCGATGTAGTTTATCCTCACAGTGACTCACTTTATTTAGATTCAAACTGTCAAGTCATTCATGTCACAACAGTGAAGCAGTAAACATAAATGATATAAATGAGATGGATTAACAGCTGGAACATGGAGGAACAGCTCAGAAGTCTTATGTACACATTATCTTTATATATCTTTATAGTTATGCCTGTTATATCAGCATCTCTTGGTATCAGCAGATGTTTGTCATTATTGGTCCCATAAGGAAAGCTGGTCCGCTATTATTAACCAGTGTCTATTTCTATTATTTGCAGTTGGTTTATGTGTTTTGGGAAGGGTGGCAGGGGTTGTCCATGTGGTATTTGTTTGGATATTCTACAGTAACAGTGATGCAGTGCAGGATTGTGGGATTATTTAACTGGAGTAGAGGAGATAAGCAATGTCAGACAAGTTTTTTGTTTGGTTATTAGTTTAATATTGTTGAAAGTTAAAAAAAGTTTGTATATTATCCTAAAAAAAATCTGCAATACACTGTAACCATAATAGTATGACAGTAAGGCAATCATACAAAGATGCATCAGTAAGCTTTAACCCTTTATAGGGCAAGTTAGCGTTTTTTGATCACAAACTGCCTTTGGCGCGTTCTTATGGCTTCCCAGGTTCCAGGCGGTTACATATAGCGCCGCCTTTATCTCTGTGGAAAGATAGGAGCCACGTTGGGGAAAAGAGGGGAGAAAAAAAAAGCATATTTCACACTTTATCCTTGACAGGATACAGTTTGAGTTATCAAAAAAACCTCAGCACAAGAAAAGCACATAAAAACACAACAGACATTTTAGCAGAGGTTCACATCTACTACTTTTTATAAACTATTTTGACTTGAACACATCGCAATTTATTTGTGTAAATCTTCTTTAATTACACACTAAAATATAAAAAAAATGCTTTAGGTTCTCCTTGTCAAACCTTTGCCTGATTTTCATGAAGATTCAAATATAATCGGCAACAAAATGACAAGAGGTTTTATTTCTGATGCATTTACTGAAAAGGAGGAAAAAACATTTTCATCATTTCATCAGCTGATCGATAGTCTGATTGATCAGAAGATTACTAAGTTATCTTTTTTCATATATTTGTTGTTAGTTCTAACCTTTATTTAAAGTTGACATTAATTACATAAATATATTTTAGTAAATCAGTAATTATTTGACCTTATTTAATACATAACTGAGCTCACAATGATACATTCCTATCAAACTATTCTAGAAAGTTCCCTTTTCTAACCCTTTTTTCTTACATGTGATCCAGTCCTATCTAATCCATATCAAACACTAAAAAGCAGAGCTAAACCAACAACCACTCAGCTGAATAATGAGGCTGATGTTTGCCTGTTTTCACATACAATGATGAGTTTTTCAGGGTTTTCAGTGGTTGGAAAAAAAGTATAAACCATCTGGTTTGAATATCCCATAATTGGCTGCTAAAATATTTATAAATGGTGTTTGGCTTCTAAAAAAAATACAGCAAATCACTTATCTTAAAACAAAAAGATGTTATAAATGATTTCCCCTTTTGAGTAATTGTTTATGGAAAGGACTGTGGGCATAAAACAAAATGAAGTCGGTTCTTGCCTTAAAACAGTCACACATTGGTGAGAAATGACTCATAGCAGCGAAGCAGCCGTTAGAATAACCTGAGGAGTAACCTATTCTCTACAACTAAGATTTATAAGACGGGGGTCAATGTGCTCTAGGATCTTTTTTCACTCTAACTTTAAATCTTAAACTCGGGGTAAAACAGCGTTCCCTGAGTTTAAGATTTAAAGTTACCTGAGGTATAATATGTTTTCCAGTTGGGATCTTTCTTTGGTTGAAGTAACAGCGCGTGGGCGGAGAAATGTGGGACGACCTGCTCTGACAGAGACCAGCTTGCCTCCTCCAGATCTGCCCTTTTTGTTTGTGCGCTGGCAGATTGTGTGATCCTGTTTCAGTGGGCTGCAGCTGACTGTGGTTCGCCAAAGTGTGACAGATTGTGGTTATAATCGTCCCAAAGAACCTCAGGGGACGAGGTCTCCTGGAAAGTCATGGTGGGACGCTCTAACTAGGGCAGCTTTTGCGTAAAGCAAACTGTTTGGGGCAACTTGGGCCTATATTTGGTGTGGGTTCTTGTGGAGGTCACAGTGGGACTACTTTACTGGCTCTGTTAAATCTTTATATTACTCATCATCCATCAGTTATCATCCATGAAGGATTCTGCTTTACCTGAGTTTTTTTTTAAATAAAATATTTAGGTTTTTGTTCCTTTCTTTCCATTAAGCAAAACCGAAACCCAAAGCTTCAAACCAACATGAATTAAATGCTTATTTTATGCATTTAAATGTATGTTAATGATGCTACAGGCTTTGGGAAAATAAAAGCCATCTTACTAAATGATCTGATGTGTATTGCCATAGATTAAAGGGGGAGTTTGGATCGCTCTTTAAGACTTTTGGATGCCTGATAATATCGATCTTTCAGTTTCTAGTATCGATTGTTTTAAAAACAAAACATTTTTACCTAAAACTGAGGGAAAATCTGTGCTTATTATTCAAACCCCAAACAACATGAATACCAAGATAACTGAACGATCAATATCATCTGGTGAACATAGACAGAGGTTGCTTTTTAATCTATACAGTTAATTTAGATAGCAGGAAAAATATTGCAATATATGGTGATATTGCGATATAGTGATGATATCGTATCAATCGTATCGTAACCCTGATGCTAATACTCATCACTACTGTTTAACATCTTCTTAATCTTAAAAGAAAAGTGGATTGCTTCCACCTTGACATTTTCAGTAACGTTAAAGCTTCCAGAATGTTTTCTAAAGCCTTTATCTACAGTCAAAGTTAAGCATCAAAACATATATTAACAACTTTTATCTGATGTGTTTTTTGTGGAAATCAGAAAGTGCATCAAAGTACAGTAAGGTGATTTTGGTGTTTACATAATGTGATCCCCCCCCCCCCAAAAAAAAATCATGCTAGGTCATAGCCTGCTAAACCAGACTAAATGTGGGATTAAATGTCATTCAATGAAAACCCCAACTCTAACCCTTCAAAAACTGATTCCAAAGCTGAGGCAAAAGAGAACTGTTCAATAATTGTTGCCATCTTCCTTCTGTTTTCTCCAGCGTCGTGCAGCGTTGTCGTCCTGCCCTCAAAACCCCGCCCGCTTTGCATCCAGAAATTCAAAACACATCTCTGCGTTGTGATTGGCTCCCCAGTTCTAGGGCCTGGGGCATTGACCGAGGCTAGACCACTCGCAGGGAAAAAATAATTTTGGCTGCTGGCGGGTGGGGCTAGTTTACTAGGCTAGCAAGGTCACTTACTGTCATAATGATTTACCCATTTTAACATTCCAGCCAGATGATCTAGAAATGCAGAATCTGTTACTACAGTAGGTTGTCCATCACATGGGGAAATACAGTACAGAAAACCTCCTTAGACTGAGAACCTGTTTGCACCATGTTTCTGGGTAAAAGCTGAAATGTTTTGTTCAATTTTTACTGCATTTCTAAATGAGTGTGAGGGACCGAACCAGCCAAGCATGAGGACACAGTGGGGATCGTCAAGAAAAATGGGTTTTATTTCCCCAAAATAACAATAATCCCAACAAGGATTACAGGGCCTTTAAAAGAGGTCAAGTGAAGACACTAACTTATGGCAAAAAATATCAAGGTTAAACATAACAAAACATCAAACTAACTGCACAGAAAATAATTACCTGCCACACAGCAAACAAATAGGACTCGAATACTGGCTGATCAGACCAGACTGACACACTGAGGAAGAGGTAGGGAGAACATCTACACAAATTTAACAAAAAATAACTCAACAGTTAGCTTAAGGATTAAACTTAAATTACTTTTACTAGCAAATCCCAAAAGCAAACGAAAAGATTATGCAGCTTTTTAAAAATGTGGAGTCCATGGTCTTCCCCCATAGTGG